CACCAAACTGGATTAATTAATCATCATTTATGAACACTCTATAACCCAGAGCAGTCAGAAAAGTGCTAAGATAGCAACGTGACAGTAGAACTGTTATAAAAACAAATGATAAATTTCCTGCATCCCCAACCTATAGCAACTTTCCAGGCATTTCTTTGCATTTCAGAACAAAATATCCTGGTGAAAATTCTTAGTGTCTATAGGAATGCTTAGAATAAACAGATTTACACTTGTTCTGTAACTTGGTGTGCTGGGCAGGGTCCTGGGCATCCCCAGTTCCATAGGGAATGCCAGGTCTGCCTTTCCTTCCTCCACCTGGAGATGACAGAGCATCATGTCAAGGGTAAAAGACCTAATTCTCACTGTGCTTGGGATGATGGGCTGAAGCACATCTCAATTTACCACATCTCTAAGGAGAAATGGCAGAGAAACTGTCATTTATGGGCACTTATCCAAACTCACCATCATTTGGGCTTCTTTTTGCCTGCATGTCCCTTGTCCTCCACAGCTCTGCTTCGTGTTCAGCTTGACCTAAACCAACAGTACCCCAAACCACTGCAATCTGCTTCATTTCCTTAATTTCAACTTGGGTTTGTTCTCAAGTCTGAACTGAGTAGATTTCTTTCTTTCTTTAAGAGAGAGTTTATAGTCTAAGGAAGTCTTTTCAGTGAGAAAAAACAGATGGCAAGAAAACAAATTCCTGTATCATGAATTTCACTAGAAAATGGAAATAACAAGAGAATTGAATTGCTGTAGATTTCTGCAAAGGCTTCCTGGGGCCCACAGATGTGAGTGGCAGCAGCGCATTCGGGCAGAATTCATTCAGCTCTGGCCACAATTAGCTGTGCTGCTGATGACTTACACAAGTGTGACAGATGAACAGCCATAAAAAATCCATTCAGATCTTCCACCCTCACGCAGCTACGCACCAATTGCACAAATTCATCAGAAGCAGCAAGTTTTTTTTTTCACAGCCTCTCAACGCATGTGCTGAGAGGAAAAAAAAAACCACAATTTTTTCTACTTGCAGGCTTTGAAAAAAATAGATATATACATTTACCTAATATATATAACTAATGGATTAGAACCTCCCAACCAGTTTTCTTCATCTGGGACCCCACACACCTTGTGGTGTCACAAACGTGTATGACCAGGGGAGCAGTGGCTGTGGTGGATTGTGCTCACGATTTAGCATTTACTTTAGAAGGAAAACTTGGAGAGATAACAGAAAAAAAAAATAAAATACCAAACCTAGCAACTGTATTCTCAGAAGGAAAGGAACAAGGCACAGGATTGTTCTGTCAATACTAAGGAATTCATTTAATCCTGCCAACTAAACAATGGAAAAGCAGAAAGCATTCCTGGGTAAATGAGAACCAATTTTGCTCTTCCAATAGGGAATTTTAAAACAACATAGAGGCTCTACAGCATTTGTACAGCTGTCCCACGGCCACTTCCCACCACTGATGGACAGCAGCTTCCACTCCCATCCTGGGAGCACTCAGGGTGGAAAGCAGACACAGTAATGAACATGGGCACAGGAAATAAAATGCCATTCAATGGTTTTGTTTCCCCTTCAAAGACAAAAATGTTTCTGTCCAAACACTGAATTTGTTGCTTTCTTTAGAGACGTTATATTTGGAAAATATTTGATTATGCTGTCAAGAGCATTAAAGTGTAAACAGATGCGCAGAGTGGAAAGAGAGCAAAAATAAAAAAAAAAAAAAAAAAGGTGCGATTTTCAGGCATATAAATGATTTAGCTTCAGCAGCAGAAGGGTCATGAATATGAATAGCGCTGAATTCCAGAGCAGCCATTTGTCATTATTAAAATTAGTGCTTTGTCAACACAAAAATCTCCCTCCCAGCTTCCCCCTAGCCCCCAAGCAGCTGTACCAGGGGATGCATTATCCCGCTCTGGCCCGGGAGGGACCGGGCTGTAATCCACAGCGGGAGGCTGTGCTGGGACAGGGATCAGCCTCCCCAGACCGAAAGGCTGTGCCCCAGGGATGAGCACATGAGAACCCAGCAGCTCTGCCTTCCTCTGCCCTGCCATCCCACTGACACAGCCAGAAATCCAGGGGGCTGCCCTCCACGTCGCCTTCGGAGCCCCTGCTGCTTGTGGGCGCGATGGAAAAGCAGAAATCGTCTGGGTGGGACAGGAACAGAGCAAAAAATGCACCTCCACAGCAAGAACACCACGGCTCTGCTGTGCACAAGGCCGAGCTACACCCCTTGCATCAATTGCTCCCTTCTGGCAAATCTTATTTAAAAAGCTGCTAAAGACAGTGAACGTGCCTTTCCTCCCAGAGCAGCGGAATTCCCACACGACACCCAGCTCTGGCTCCTGGGCTTTTCAGCAATGGGCCAAGCAGCAGGAGGAAAGGACCTAGAAGGGAGCATTGATCCTGTTTAATTGTGGAATGGCTGAGAGGATGAGGGGGAATGCATTTAAAGCTGTTTGCTAATGGATTTATTTCATTGCAAGTGCTTGATCGATGGATAGGGAGAGTTTCAGATATCAACAGAAAGCAATCAGCCAATATTTTATTCCCAACACGGGACTGCCATCCTTGAGATGGTGTTGCACTTGAACTGTGCCCTCCAGAGGCAGGTGGCTAATCTTTGTCCAAAAACAAGTGCTTTTAGCTAAAGCTGTGCTAAGTTTGGCAGTTAGAGAAGGAAAAAAAGCTCTTTATTCTGCATCAATAGGGCTGTGCACCCACAGCAAGCACACAAACTCCGAGTACAGAATGCAGTTTCAAGGCACTGGTTTATATTCAAATAACTTTTTTTAAAAGCCCTTTTTTTCTCTCTACTAACTACTGTAGGTTTCATTTTCTATAACACACAAGCCTGCGTACAAACATTCCATACAGAGAAAACACTCTGTATCCAAATTCTACATCTAAGTGATGTGAAATAGCCCTAGAAACAAAAACCAGACAGTGAAATGGTGTGATGGTCCTGCCATTAGTGTGCAAACAATCTGATATCAGCCATGCTCTAAACATGAACAGTTAAAATCCATCACTTTTATCCCCAGTGATCTGGAGGTAGATGGCAAAGAATTAAATCCCATTTTACTCAGTGAATAATGCATCATATCTGGGGCTTTTTCACTTCCAAAAAGACCAACAGAGCAAAAGAAGTCAAAAGAGATGTCCAAGATCTTCTGACTCCATGAAGAGTGATTAACAGGCTCTTTTAAATTGGTTTGCAGCATAATGAAACTCCTCAAATAAGCTAATACTCATCTCCTACAAGTACATTTTAACATTAAAAACAATCTCATCCATTTTCAAGTGTAAACAAAGCACAAAGAGCACACAGATTTACTTGCATACTTCATTTGGTGCAATAACATTAAATGTCATTGGCAGACCCTTTAGCACTCAAACAAATGCTCCAGAAACAAGGTGATATTCTCCAGCAGCATCTCCTACAAGTGTTTTCCTTTTCATCACTTTAAAACAGTTTGCAGGAAGAACTTTTCACATTTGCAGGAGTTGAACTAGCAAGGATTTGTTTGTGTTGGCTGGGGTTTATTTTGTGAGGAGAGCATGATTTATTACCCTCCTTATAGTTTCTGGGGTAGTACACAGAGACACGCACCAAGTTCAGGGTAATTTTAAGACTTACTCTGTTTATGTCAAATACTCAGGGTCATAAAACACACAGGCACTAGACTCCACCAAATCAATCCACAGAAAAAAAAAAAAAAACAACTTGTACAGCTTCCAATCTTGCTTAGCCGAGGCCCAGAGCAGAACAAAAGGGAAGAATAAATTACCTTTTGTGGCATAAAGTGTGCAGAATGCAAGCCCACTGCACAAGGGCCACGAGGGACACGTTCTCCTAAGCTCCATCTGTCTCCCCCTTGGAGGAGGGCTAAAAGCCCTGTTAATAATTTAACACTAATTAAACTAATGGACACGTTTTCGAGCACTGGGGGCTGTGGTTAAAGAAGCAACACCTTGGCACAGCAGGAGAGTAAGAGTGGGAAGCTGGTGGCTTCTTGTGCTAGGGACAAGCCTGGGACAACAGGGCAGGAGCCTGCAGGAGGGAAAGCTTTCTCTGCAGGTGGATCACTGCTGAAAACCTTCCTGAACCACACACAGAGGTATTTTAGAGCATATCTCCAGCATAGCTGACCCACACCCCAGGCTCCAAAGGAATGCTGCCTAAACACTGTCCCCCAAGCCTGGGTTGGGCAAGGCTTCAACCCAAACCACATCCAGCAGCCCTGCAGCACATCAAATCAATTCATTTTGAATTTAAAAACTCAAAATTCACTGACCTGAAAGTGACTCCTGTAGCAGCCTTCAAAGAAGGAAGGTACGAGTACTCTGCAACAACCTCTCCCCTGCAGTCTTGCACAACTTTGTAATCTTCTCCCCATTTGTAATCATCTGAAGCCAGGCTCACCTGGACACAATTATCTCTGGGAACCAGGTGTCCTCACTGTTGATAGATAATTTCTTCAGAATGAGGTGCTTCAGTCCCCCAAATCTGCCTGCAGCTGTAATCCTGTTTCACTGTCAGTCCATCCTGGCTCAGGCCACTGCACTGACTAAAACAGCCAAGTGACAACATTCAGCTTGGTGCCATCTTCATATAAGTAAATAATGACAATCTACAGGTAAAGCAGCCACAAAACTGAGTTTAATCACCTCGTGGAAAGAAAATGCTGGGAAATACATTTGTCACATTGTTCTTGTAAACTCTCTTTATCCCTCTGAAATAAATCTTGAGATCTACAAGGCAGTGGCTACGTAAAGGCAGATAAAAAGACAGAAGTTATATCAGCTTTAAGGAGAAAATAAAGACAAAGATACTTAGCTGAGATACCATCCTTCACAAAGCCTGGGAGCGTTTCTGTGTCAGCATTTATTCCCCTACTCACAGCCAGGCTACTCTAGGCAAAGCAGCCAGCACCGGGGGGAGACAGCAAAGTGGATTTTTGGTGTGCCATGCCTGAGAGGCTCCTCTTGCCCCCAGATCAGCATCTTCATGACCCACCTGTCCAACTACGGGAACGACCGCCTGGGCCTCTACACCTTTGCCAACCTTGCCAGCTTTGTCAAGAGCTGCACAAACCTGAGGCTGCAGACGCTGCCCCCCGTGCAGCTGGCTCAGAAGTACTTCCAGCTCTTCCCCGAGCAGACAGACCCCCTCTGGCAGGTAAAGTCACCTCCTCTTCCTCCTCCAGCTGCAACGTGCTCGTTGGAACGAGCATCTTTTCCTCTAAAAAGCCTTTTTTGAGCTCAATGCTGTAATTGAATGGTTACACGCACCTGCCTCTTCTCTTCACTGGAATACCATGGGCCACACTGAGCTTGTGGCTAAAATCCAGGGGGGCACCAAGGAAACCTGCGCAGTTACTTAGGGCTTACACTGGCAGAAAACTTCCCCTATTATTTTTGGCCGAGCCACAAAGGAAGTATAAATCTATAATATTTCCACTGGGCTGCAGCAATCCGTTCAGTTGATGATTTTCTCCATCACATTTTGTTAATTTGATTCACCAGCAAAGTGTATCCTCTGTTACCTATGCAAAAGCAGCATCTGTGTGATAACTGCTTTGAAGAGCAGCCAGTCCCAACCTTTTCTGCGGGGCCTTTTGTTCACAGGTTTTTATTTTGCATTCATAGGTAGTAGAAAGATAAGGAGATGAATAATATCCCACATTTCTATTTTGTCCTTTCCTTTTGCATTCTCACGTAAATTAAAATTGGCACTAAGCCCCATGCATCCGAAACCATCCTGACAGCTTAGAAAGTAATGCCTCCAAGCTATTCAGGGGCTTCCATTTGAACCTCAAATGGAAACATGATTAAATCAATGTTCCAATCTTTTTTTTTCCCCCTTCTTTTCCTTTTCTGCTAATGACTGAACCTTGTCCTCACTCACTCAAAACCGTTGTACGCGCACTGTGGGATTTTGCTGCTTGGTGTAGGGCTCTGACATTAGTGCTTAACACTGAGACCCTGCAAAGGTTTGGGATGCCCCACGTGCTGGCCACAACCACCTTTTGTCCTTCAGAACCCGTGTGACGATAAGAGACACAGGGATATTTGGTCCAGAGACAAAACTTGCGACCACCTGCCCAAATTCCTGGTGATAGGACCCCAGAAAACAGGTAAGGAGCACAAGGGGAGCTTTTTAAAAGTTTCTACAAAGTCAAAGGTGCTTTTTAAATTTTTTAATATTTCCTAATGGCATCTCTTTGTGTTGTCATAGGAACGACAGCCCTTTATTTATTCCTTCTGATGCATCCTTCCATTATCAGCAATCTCCCCAGTCCAAAAACATTTGAGGAAGTTCAATTCTTCAACGGCAACAACTACCACAAGGGAATTGACTGGTAAGAAGAATGACAAAAATGAGGTGTTCATTCTTAATCCATGGAAAATCACAGTGGAGCAATTCCAGGAGTGGGTGTGACATTTCCTTAATTACTGGATGAATTCGTTATGCTGGGAATTATCAGATGGAAAGAGAATCTAATTGGTAGTGATGGGACATTTAATCAAGCCCCTAATTTTGTTTAGACATTACAGTAGGAATTTTCTGAGTTTTCACACAAATGAATGCAAGAGGCAGTCCTGTCATGAGTTCTGTCTTCATGCTGAATAACATCTCTGTCTTGTCATAGCTGTAGCTGCACTGACTTACACTCTGTTCCTTCCAAAGTGGCTTTTCATGAAGTAAGGTTCCATTTATCTCTTCATGAGGATCCATCCAATCAATTTTAAATGGAAAAGACCATTCAAAGCCAAAATTCAAATCTTGCATTCTGAAAGCGTCCAAAGGCAAAGATATGTCAGCTCCAAAATGAAGTGCTTCAACAATGTTAAAATTAAACAGTTTGACATTTAAATGTTGACATTAAATGTTGACATTTTGAAGCTTTTCCCATTTTTTTCTGCAGCTAAAACTGAACTCACTCCAAACTGGTGAAAGATATCCCTTTGACACTGAAGTTATTAGCAAAAATCCCATCCATCACAGCAAAAACCTAATTACCAGACTTCATGAGGGCTTTAGCTATTACCAGCACCACCTAACAGCCAAGATGCATTCCCATTACTCCAGTCTGGGCTGAGCTGAAAAATTCAATTTTGCTTCTTGAGAATTACGTCTGAAAATTCACCTTCTCACCCACCATGAAATGGGAAGCGCGGGGCCATGACCCTGTTGTGCTGCTGCTCATTCTCACGAGTCTCTTCCCCTCCAAGGTACATGGAATTCTTCCCCACCCCTTCCAACGCCAGCACCGACCTCCTGTTTGAGAAAAGTGCCAACTATTTCCACTCTGAGGAAGCTCCCAGGAGAGCTGCTTCCCTCATCCCCAAGGCCAAGATCATCACCATCCTCATCGACCCGTCCGACCGCGCGTACTCCTGGTACCAGGTAGGGAATTCTTTGCCCCGAGGAATGCACAGTGGAGCATCCCCAGGTGGCTGGGGATGATGGCTGGCATCGCTGGGAATCCGTGTCCTTGAGCAAGTAATGGCACAGCCTTGGCACCCCGTGGAAGCAGGAGGGTGCTGGATGCCAGCTTTTGCAGTTGGCACCTGCGACACCGGTGTCAGGAATGATGGAAGTTCCCAGCACAGAGCTGCCACCAGCTGGAAGCAAACAGTTCAATCTCAATTACAGCTGGCAGGGCAGAGAGGGAGAGCAGTGCTCCGTGCCCAGGGAGGTGCACAGGGAAAAGGAGCGTGGCCCAGCCAGGGAATCAGAGCTCTTGATGCTGAGGGTCTGGCCCCACTTCTCTTCCCCCAGCGTGTAAGCTCAGCAGTGCAGCGGTGCACAGATGGACCCAGTGTCTCCTGGAGTTTCCAAGGAGGTAAAAAAAGCTGTGACTGGAGCCACTGGCTTGTTTTCTCTCCTTGGAAACAAAAGCAAGCCTGTTGTTTTCCCCAGGATGCTCTTCCTTGCCTTTTACTGAGCCCACACCCTTCCATAACAAACCCTGCACTATTTAAAAATTCTATTTTTAGGGAAATGTATAAGCATGCTTGTGGAAAAATGGAAACATAAAAGAAACACTAAATTCAGTGTTAAAATAGACTGAGGTTAATAATGCTGGAACAGCATGAAATGCATCATTTCTGATCCTGCCAGGCAGTTCTGCAAGCAGCAGAGCACGGCCGGGGGCTGCAGCCTGCACCCGGCTGTATCTCACTGCCACCTTCCCGGCTGCCAAGGCAAAGCAGCAAAGCGGCCACTGCGAAGATTTCAGCCCGCAGCATCCTTGTGCCACGTGTTTCCCTGTCTCCCCGCAGCACCAGCGCTCCCACGAGGACCCCGCTGCCCTGAGGTTCAGCTTTTTCCAGGTGATCACCGGAGGGTCCCGGGCGCCGCCGGAGCTGCGGGCGCTGCAGCGGCGCTGCCTGAGCCCCGGCTGGTACGCGCTGCACATCCACAGGTGGCTCTCGCACTTCCCGCCCTCCCAGGTAAGGGCTTGCCCAGCTCACCCAGCCCTGGCACTGCCCAAAGCGCTCCCGAGGCTCCTGCGGCCCGGCTGCAGCGCCAGATGTTGCGGGAAGAGCGGGAAAATTCATTTAGGAAATGGCAGAGACTGCCCTGGGTGGGACAGAGTGCTGCTGAAAGGAGGCAGAGCTGAGCTTTGTCAGGGACCTGGGGAAAAAAAAAAACAAACAACAAAAAGAACTAGAAGCTCTGCCTTCTTGCAAGCCTCTTTTTTCTTTTTATACAGCCTCAGCTGTACTATAGAGAAGAGAAGCAGGTCAATCCCATTTCCAGGAGAAGGGAGAAAATCTCAATTAGTCATTTACTTCCTTCTTTCCTCTCTGGCCTTTCTATTCTTATAAATGGGGAGAGAATCCTCCCAGAGATGTTGAGGTGGCAGCGAGGGCAGCAATGCCCTGGGAGCAAGCAGGCCACATCTCCTCCTTACCCACCTCATCCCAACTTATTCCTCCAAAGGAGAGGGGGATGTTCTGGCAAATTCTGAGCGTGCAGAGGGTGCTGAGCATCCCATGCCCTGTTCCCTGGGCTGCTCCTCTGCCCTCACCTGGAGCTGCTGCCTTCTCCCCTCACGATTTCCCACAGACACATCACAAACCTCAGCAATGTTTTGCATCCTTTCCTTATCTCTTCTTCTCAGAATTGTCTGAGTGTCAGGTTTGGCTTGGGAGGTTTAACTCCTGCATTTGAACAAGGTGCACACGCAGAGTTACGAGGTGCCCACCTATGTAAATCCAACTCAATAAAGTGAAAAGCAAACCCAAAAAGGAGCTCATCCACATGAATGCTTTTAGCACTGAACAAAGTCATTTAAAGCTAATTTAAATCCAGGTTGTCACAGAAGTGAAGTAATGCCATTTTTTTGTTAATCTTAGCCCTTTTTCCAATCAGTGCCATATTTACCCCTGCAGTTGCTCATTATTGATGGACAGCAGCTGAGAAGTGACCCTGCCACTGTGATGGATGAAGTGCAGAAGTTTCTGGGAGTCTCTCCTCACTACAATTACTCCGAAGCCCTAACGTGAGTGTATTCCTTTTCTCATCTGCCCTGTGGGATCCCAGGGTACATCCCCTCCCACCAGGATCCCTTCATTATTAACTACAAAGACATCAGGACAACAATAACTTTGAGAAGCTTGGGCTTCTCTTCCATGAGTCTCCAGGAGCTGAAGCCTGGAGTGTCAGGTGTGGGAAGCTTGGATTTCTTATTCCAAAGGAGCCTGATGGCAGAGGCTGGGTGAGAAGCACTCGTTCCCTAATCCCATTTTCCTGTCTGGATTTCCACACATGGCTGAGACTCCTGCAGGGGTGGGAGTGGGCTGAATTCCCCTCTCAGTCCAGCAGAAAATTGTAAGAAGCTTTTGCCCTGAGCTCCCTGTGCGAGGAGCATCACCTCCTTACAGCCCCAGCCCTGGGATATCCATGAGCTGGGAAGCCTGGCACTGCTTTTCCAAGCCCTGAGCCAGCACATGGAGTGGGAAGCAGCAAAGCCTCTGCTTCACCTTCCCTGCAGGCTGGTCCTGAGGGAAACACAACCACAGACTTTGCAGCTGCCCCACACTGCTCCTCTCTGCTTGCAATTACCATTTCATGTTTCCTCCCTGGCAGGGTTCAGCTTATTTTTATCATAGTTTCAAAGGAAGACTTCAGTGCTTAAGGAAGTTGCTCTGCCAAAACCTTTTTCTGGAGGAAGAATTTTGGATTTCAGAAGGCAATTTTTTAAGTCACTGGTTTCCAAAGAGGATGGAGGGGAGGAGGAGTCTGATCACAGAGCTGAGCTATTGATGTTTGAACAACTCACAACTGCACATCTGCAGTGCCTTCTGCTGGGTTTTTAAAATCCACACCCACAGACATACATCTTCCTTGCTGGAACTAAATTAAAGTCAGTGGAGTCACACAGCAGGAAGAAATTTGGCCTCTCATACTGGTTTGGGCAGGAAAAATGGATTGTAAACAGATCCATAAAATTATGCGCTCCCTGTTTAGAGGCATCAAGAATGCAAATGTGCTGTGGAAGCACACACTTCTGCAGGGATTTAGGATGGAAGGGGAAAATGCATTAAAGTGTGTAGCTGCTTTCTGGCAGGGCTTGTCAAAGGGGAAAAGATTGCACAGGATGGTTCCTAGTCATTACTGCCTAACAACTGCTCACCACACATTCTTAAAGGTGTCAGGAAGCAGCCTAAGGACCCAGTCCTGTGAACAGCACTGAGCAACAAGTCCATCACCCGGAGTCAGTGTGTGGAAGTCTTGCAGGAGAGTAAAATCAGCCCAGGCAGAAGGGAGCCATGGCAGGGGAGCAGAGGGGACGCAGAGGCAGGGCTCGAGGAAAACACCAGATGAGAGAAAACACACCAGAGGAGAGTGCTGAGGAAAGCCTTCTGCCTTGGAGGGCTGCTGCATTCTGTCAGAGAGTGAGAGAAAGATCCTCACGGTGGCATTGCTTGGCTCTGCATTCCCTGCCTCTGGCATCAGGTACTGCCTTCCCAAAACCCTGCCTCTGCCCCAGGCTTACTCTGCAGGGAAGGGAAGACAAGCAGGCCACCAAGGATTTCTGCTGACAGCTCTAAAATGCTCCCCTGTAGCTTTAGCCTTAGGGCTATCACTGTTTTTAAATAAATACCTCCACTGTGCCCAATTACGTTTGCAGAAGCCCCGAGAGCTCTGTGATTTCTGAACGCAGAGGGTTGAATTCAGCCCAAACTGCCTCACCCTCTTTTCCCCTTCCCAAATGTGCACATCCTTTTCATAATGTTCAATAAGCTCCTTCTGAGGCAGAAGGATTGTTTGGGGCATAGTTTTGCAGTTTCCCTTTTACCCAGCACACGATGCTGCTGTTCCTCTTGGGAAATTAATGCAAGGCAGCTAAAGCGCTTCACCACGCAAGGAGCAGATGGGAAAGGCCAAAGCAGAAATGAATCTATCATCAATATACCCATTTAATCAATGATTTATTTGTTTTTAATTGATACAGCTGCAGAGACAATTTAGGAAACAAAGGTCAGGCTGCATTAATAGGCTGGGCAAGGAAAAGCCCATGGAGGAGGTTCACCCTTCTCGTGAAACTCGCCCACTTCTGCACAGCAGCAAATTGCAGGTGCATCCGTGTCGTGGGGACAGAGCAGGGGCAGAAAGGTGGTGTGTAACTAATTAACTCTGTGTTCCAGCCAATTACCCTTCATCCTTCTCAAACATCTGCTGAGCAGCAGGAATGTGCAGCGTTGGGATGGTTTATGCCTGCTGCAAGTCCCGCAGCAATAAATTCCAAACTCAGCGCCACGCGCCGTTCGCTCCTCAGCGAAGCCTTCATCTGAACCTCTTCTATCTCTGCATTTCAGGCATCACAATCAAACTGCAGGTTTCAGATAAGGCTGCTAAGACAGTGTTTATGCTACAATGCCATCCTGGGAAGGAAAATGGTATTTAGATGCAGTGATAGGGAGCAGCAGCTTCTTCTCCTTCTTCAGGCGGGTTAAATCATCAGCACCCAACCAGCGCTTCCTGAGGAGAGCTGCACATCACCCTGTGATGGGCTGCACAAGGACAACAAAAATTAGCCAGTGCAGCTAGAGCACAGTGGGAAAAACTTCTGCTTTTAGGCACTTCCAAGGCAGATTTGTGGGAAAAATGAATTCCCAGAATTTACACAGGTTTCTCACTCCGTCCTCACAATTCCAGTCATCTAGAGATGTGTGCAGCGTAATTGTGGGCTAACACTGATGTCTCAGTAGCCAGGAGATGTTTCTGAAGCAAGGTCTTTTAAAAGATGTGATGCTCCACAGGTTTGACCCTCAGAAAGGCTTCTGGTGCCAGTTATTGGAAGGAGGGAAAACAAAGTGCCTGGGGAAAAGCAAAGGTCGGAAATACCCACCAATGGACCAAGAGGTAAGGGCTTTCCAGAAATTTATGGGAGACGTTTTAACACTGACCCTAATTAAACACACGGATTTATTTTTTTCTTTGTTGCATTTTCACTGGGCTGATGTTTTTAAAAATCGGAAACTTGAGCTTTGGAAGAGAGGGCCCCTGTGAGAGCCCTCTGTGGGATGGGTTTCCTCTAACCTGATCTTGGCTCGTTTCTCCCCGCTCAGTCCCGAGCCTTTCTGTCGAGCTACTACCGGGAGCACAACGTGGAGCTGTCCAAGCTGCTGCACAGGCTGGGCCAGCCGCTGCCCTCCTGGCTGCGGCAGGAGCTGCAGAAGCTCAGCTAGCCCCGGGGGACCCGGCCAGGCGCCTTCCTGCCCGCCCAGAGCTCCTCCGGCTCCCTCGGCATCCTCAGGACAGCACCGCACGGACCCCGCTCTGCCCAGCCAAACCACACAAAGCGCAAGAGAAGAAATTGAAAAGCCCCAAACCCGAGCCCGACGAGTGTTGGCACGCCCGTGCTGCCAGCGGGGCGGCATCCAGCCCTTGTGCCCGCTCCCAGGGAAGCGCACGGAGGCAGCGGCACCCCCCGCATCCAGGCGGGAGCCGCGCGGAGCCGCGCTCCTCCCTTCTCCGGGAGGCACCGGGAACTCTGCGCGGGACACACGGACAAACTGCGCTCGGTCAGGACACGGGCGAAGGATGGGAACGTCGCTCGCTGGACTGGGAGGTCGGTCGTGCTTTTCCCGCTTTTGTTTTCAAATCCTTTCAGGCTGCGGGCAGGCCAATAGCCTGATATTGAAAGGCGGCGTCTGAACGCAGAGCAGCGCTGTGGCTCTGAAGCCTCCAGACACCGGGTGGGTCATTTAGGGTCTCAGTCTGCAAGCTGGTGCAGAAAAATAACTTTAATTGCCTTTCTGAATGTTCTGGACACAAAACAGCCTGCTGAAGCACAAACTCTTCCTGTAGACTTCAATGGAGTTGACAGGACAAACACAGCCCCTGTATGTCACATATACCTGTGTGACATACATGTCTTCATTCCCGAATGTCTGCCTCGTGTATCTCTGGATCAGACACACACTCAGTTTTAAATATCTGCTTTTTGTGCCCGCAGGGAAATGAAAGGGTGGCTCACCAAAAATATGACATGAACTCTGCTTGGTTCTCAGAGCTGTAGGGGCAAGGCCAGCGAGGCAGGGCAGAAACTCCTTACTTGTCCTGTGTGGAGGTCATTCCTCAGATCTGGAGGTGGTAAACACATGTATTTGTATGTCACATAGAAACTCACACTCCCTTTTCGCAGAGCACTGGCAACACCACAGATGACTGGAATAATGAGAGCTTTGGATAAGTAAGGCTTGGGCAGGGAGGAGTGTCTAAATGGAGCATTTGATAAAATTACAGCTGTTAAAATACATTAAAATTGGCTCAGCTTTAATTAAAAGAGGACTGCCTCACTCCTGACTAAAAGCTGAATAAACATGACACTGGTTTCAGGAGCTTTTCAAGGAAATGAGGCAAACACTAGAGAATCCAGAAAATTATTTCTTGTCCTTAGCTTTTTATTTAGAAAGAAATCTGTCTCTCTAACTCTCAGCTCTGTAAATGGCACAATGTCCTGAAAATCCAACAGATATTTTTATTTTTATGTTATTTTTTAAGTTTGATTGGGCCTCACATTTCTGAGAGATCTCGTGTTCCGTTGAGGACTGACATTTGAATTGAGTTCTTTATATGTCACAAAGATGCAATAACATTATTTCCAAGTCTCACTCCCTCCACTTGTAACAGGAGCCATCAGCCCAGAAATTCTCTGGACCGCCGTGTGACAGAGCAGCCTTTGTGAACTGTCTGGAAATGATCTCCTTTGCTTTTTTATGCCTTTTTATGTCAGTGACCACATCATTGCTGGGATTCTAACAGACCAGCAAAAACGAAACAATTATTGATGGCAAGAGGGCTGTGGTTGGGAAAGATCCTGCTGGTCCTTCTTTCCTGTTTGTAAGCCACAGGATTCCTGTCCTTCCCGTGCTGCAGGCTGTAATTCAGAGTTTCACACACTGCTGCAGGGGGGCTGCAGCTGCAGTTTGCTCCCATTCCCCTGGAAATGAGGGTTCCAGGATGTGGGAAGGGTTCCAGGCCAGGCACAGGAGTCAGGGCCGTGGCAGCAGAGTTGATGGTGAAAGCAGAGCCCTGGGAAAGCTGAGCTCGTATCACTGAGGCTGTCTCTGAGCGAGGAGCAATCAGAACGGAATCCAAACCCCTCTAAATTATGCATTGACCTCTCAAGGTCTAAAACAAAGTGGTGGGATTAACTGCTCCGAGATGTTGTCTAATAAACCAAATTTCCTCTCTGACAGTGGAGCAGGCTGCAGAGAGTCCCCAAAAGAAATTAAAATGGCGGAATTAGAAATTCTTGGGGGAGGAAGCGGTTGTGTAACGAAGGCACTGATGGGTCCAGGCTCTCTGATGTGATAATAAGGCAGTGGGGATGTGCCCTGAATACAGAATCCAGAGCTGAGTGTTTTCTCCTCTTCCTTCCCCTCCCTCCCCATTCTGAGGCAGGGAGATGGGGGATCTTTCATCCATCCCCTGAACGATCGGGGTGTGGGGCGCTCATTTCCCCTCTGCTGGGCCTCCCAAAAGGGAGACATCACCCACCCATTTACCTCCCATCAGTGGCAAATTGTGTTTGCCATGGGCTTAAAATTGATGTTTCTAACAGGAAAATGAGTGTGTGCATCTGTGCCAAACAAGTACAGCACAGGGACATAAATCAGTAGTGAGCCCACGACTGATTTTATTGCACTGAAATAAGGCTAAATTTGGGGGTTCTTTTACATAACTCCGTGTTCATGGGACAGGAATTTCCCTGCCAGACAACCATTCTTACTCTGTCTTTATTTCTCTTTTTGTGCTTCCAGTTCATCCTTTTAGCATGACTGCAAAGGTGTGGACCTGCCCACGGACTCGATTCCTCCATCACTCTCCTATCTAGAAAAGCTGCCGGAAAGAAATAAGGATTTGCAAGCGACACAGATTCTAAAGTGTTCAGTGCTCCAGAGACTGGATAACTTTTGTAAGACTTACTATGATTTCTGTAATATTTCAGAACAAAGGACATCCTGCTGATAGAGCTGAGGAAAAACTTCACTGTCTTGCCCAAACTCTTTTTTTTTTTTTTAATTTTTCTTTCCTCTCCAATGTGACGACAGCAAATCCAGTTGAACAAATACTTGGTGTTGAAGCAGAAGGAATTCAAATAAATTTTGATCACTCAAAGAATTTTTGTTGGGGGGTGGGGATGGTGAAGGGAGGTCAAGGGCTGTACTTGCTGGAATAGTTTTAAATAATTGATGTGCACACAGCTGACTATCGGTTCTTCTCACTGCCACAGAATAAACACTTCTGCTGGTGCATTACAGAGACAGCTTCGCTTCTTTCCTTAAACCCTCCTTCCCATTTCCTGAGCCAAAATCTACTCTTCAACAGCCTCAGCCGTGTACTTCAAACCATGCACCTTCCCAGCTCCTCCTGCCTCAGCATCTCTGCCATCAGCACAGCAGCCCCAAAAACACAGTGGGATTTCCTGGCAGGGACACTGACCTGCTCCTCCTCCTCCTCCTCCTCATCCAGGCAAGTCTGACCCTTCAATATTTGTTACACACATTTCTGGGCCTGCCCTCCCAAAGTTTGGCCTCCCTGCACCCCACAGGAGAGGGACATGCAGCCCCAAGCAAGCTCTTGCCCTAATTAAAAATAATTTCCTTCTGTTCCGTTTGAGGAATCTTAAAAGGCCCCGATTCCAGCTATTGCAAATTCCTCAAACTGTGCACTCAGAAGTATGAGACAGCTTTTTTCCCCTCCCTAAAATCTCATAATGCTTCTATTTTTTATTATAAAATATTCATTTGTTTTACTGATCTGTGTCACAATGAGGTTAAATCATATCAGAGTCGTGGATTCTTTCTACAAACCTTCCAGAATAGCAAATTCCACCTCCTGAGAGCTTCTATCACTGAGCAAAGTAGAAATGACATTACAGATATCTCACCACAAGTTTTGCCTTTTTTTTCCAGGTCTGCCTGGTGCTTGTAGACAAATTTTCCAAGGTAACTAAATTTTCAAAGTGTTTTAGGAGTCTACATCTGTTAAAAAAAAAAAAAAAAACAAAAAAAACCCCCAAAAAACCAAACCAAACTTGTAGGCCAAAAAAAAAAAAAAAAACAAAAAAAAACCCCAAAAAAACCAAACCAAACTTGTAGGCTCCTATACTTGTACACCCTAAAAATCAGCTGGCTTTCCATCAGGTTTTCCAGGCAAGTTTCCTGCCTTAGTCTTATTTAACAAAACAACAGCAGAATTTTTCCAAAAGTTTCCTGCTTCCAGAAAATTCAGAGTATTCCCACCTGGAGACCTGAAAGCACCGAACGAGCTTGTGAGGTGATCTGTTTGTGTAAAGAGCTTTTCCTGTGTGCAGTGTGGGAGAGGAGAGGGAGAGGAGCTCTTTGTCAGTCCTGTAAATATCCAAATCCCAGTCAGCAACTGATTTATAGAATGGCAGGAAAGAATCCTGCATATAATTTATACTCCTATTTCCGCTCATGAGGAATTAAAGACTTCCCAGGAAACCAGATTGATTTTTGCATCTCAGTCAGCTGCAGCTGCTGGGTGGGGAGAAAAACATTTCAAACATTTCAATAAAGCCATATCTGCCACTTTGGGTTTGCAAAGCTGTTTGTCCTGCTGCAGCTCCCTCTAACCAAACCCAGGCCAGTTTTACAGTGCTCCTATTTCTTTGGGAATGGGAACGTGACACGTTAATACACAAATCTGTCTCCATTGCAGAAGGTCAGGGGGGTTTATGGGCTGCTAGTTGGGATCCTCCTGGGGTTTTCTCAGAGGTTATTTTCAGCCAGGGGAAGGTCAGCAGCGGGTGGAGTGGGATTTCTCAATCCAAGCTGCAGCTCCATAAAATGCTGTGGGGGCTGAAAAGCGTGCTTTATAATTTGGGAGATAATTGCATGCCATTCAATTGACTTTGTACTTGCCACTTCTCGGGGTCTGGTGGAAGCTCTGCTGCCTCGCAGAACTTATCTGTAACACACATCCCCTGTCAGGTAATTTAGCTTCCCTTTAGAGGAGGGGCTGAGCCACAAGGAAGAGCTGGATGTTGGAGGGAATGAGTTTTTCCAGAACTTGCTCTGAGGAAGATATTTATTTACAGTTTTTCTTTAACTCTCTGTGTGTGTTTCACTGTGCTTGCCCTGGCTGGGGAATCATCTCCGTATTAAATCTGCACGCCCTCCAAAGGCACACAATTCCCATCGGCATCAGTGGCAATTAAATATTCTGGTGAAGGAGAGAATAAACCCACCGACAGAAAATGTTATTTAATGACATTGTAGCTGCAGCACATCTTCCTGCAGAGCCTTG